ATATATATATATATATATATATATATATATATATATATATATATATTGCCACTCTGATTTGCGCAAACCCTTCAAAAAATCAACCAAACATTTAGGTGAACATGATAAATCGCTGAGGCTTGCCTTCATTCGAGTTGTCGATATGACCATTTGTATCAAAACTTGCCAAAAACAAAACTATCTTCCAAATAAAAAAAATAAAAAGCCCTTGAAACAGGCGAAACCATTCAAACTATTCTGCCAGCAGACTTACGAACACGCAATGGAAGAAAACAACTGACTCCTCCACATTAACACATACGGACGAATTCAGGCATATCAACTTGTTTTGCTGTAAAAAGAACTTTTACCGGCCCGGAGAGTACTTCCAACTATCAGCCAATAACCCTAATCGTTATTGAGGAATTTCAACCACGTGAAAGCCATAAGATACAACACTGCTACCTCGTCAGTAAGAGATTCTTGATAATAACGTGTCGAAAGTGCCCATCTCCTCACTGTAAACTTTAACACATCCAAAACGAAACTGCTATGCTTTAATCATCATAGAGAACTATTTTGGGCTTCCACCAACATGGCTGATACTAACCTTCAAGAGAAGAACTAAGTGCGCCATCATGGCCGAAAGTTTTCCACTGATTTGAACTGGGTGGATTTTATTGAATCAAATGCTAGGAAAGTTGATTCAACTAGCTATTTATGCTGATGAAACAACTACTTACTCGTCTTAATAGTAAGTTCAATAAATCCGGTAAAGTAAAACTGCCAGCTGCTCGCCAAAGTGATCTCCAGTCAGTTGTTAACTGAGACAAGAAATGGCCTGTGTTAAATAGGAATAAAGTGGCGCATATCACCGGAGAGCAAACACAGGTGATCCCATTTTGAATAAGTAGATTACATGATAGCAAAGGAAATGTATTTATAGGAATTAGCGTGGCGTCTAATTGATCACTATTTCTACACTATCTTCTATTAATATTACTATTCACTATACTATTTCTCTATACTGATCACTATACGAATTACTATTTGGATCACTATTCAGTGGTTACTATTCGAGCGAGTATTATCGAGCAAGTACTATTAGTGTAAGTGTTATTCTAAGGCGTCTGACGCCAGTATTGTTCAACGGCGTTACTATAGTTGTATCTGTGATTACAAAGTATCTACTACAACGACCATTACGAAAGTGGCAACGAGTATTCGTTAACATCACAAAAGTTTGTCAATTTTAACGTCCACAAAACAATTCCTTTATCTTTTAATCATTACAGAGAACATTTTTTTAGCATGACTGATGCTAACTTCCAGAAGAGCAAACGATGCGCAGTCGTGTTGATTGATTATATTGAATGAGTTGCTGGGTCTGCTGCTAAAAATGTTGGTAAACTTGTGTCGTGCCAATCATTTTTTCTCTCTCGCCAGAAGCCATCTTGCACTTAATACTCTACCAATGAACATTGCTGGCACATCAGATCTGTGACTTCTATAATATATCTCAAGGTATTTGATAAAACCCAAAGAAAGGTTTGCAATGTTATCGGTCTTGACCTAGCATCATTATTATCTCAAAAAAACATACTTTACAATCTAAAATTCTTTCTTGTTTCATATAACCTGCAAAATTTGATCGGTCATAAAAAAAAACAATCAATCGGCCATGTTTACGAAAGGATTTCTTCAACCAAAAGACGAGCCTGTCAGCAATAGCAGTACCTGTTTCAAGGAAAATGGTGAGTCTTCTCAAATAGGTTTCGTAAACACGTGGACCTTATTTTCAGGCGGGTGTATTTTATTTGTGCATAAGGATATAGTCGGCGTATTCTTGAACACAACCAACAGAGCGAGGGAGTTGATTCGTATGTGGATGTCTTTTTATGCGTATTGATAGAATTTATGGTACTAGATTGTGGTGTAAGTTTTGACAACAGAAATAATAAACACTATTTATAAGATTGTTTATTGGAATGATTGGCAATACTTCGGCATTTTGCCAATCGATTCAAACTTTTCAAAATGATAAATATTATATATTTCCCAATAGTTGGTGTTATTAATAATCAAGAGTGGTCTCCTCTTGTTTTGTTACACTCCCCTTTGAGAGAGCTATTTCTTTTTACTGGGACTATAAAAGGACACTATACGCGAACCTTGTATTCTCAGTTGAATAAAACTTGCTTGAAGCCTACACCTGCGTACTTTTGACGTTACAGTTGGCTCACATATTTTAATAATTTAGTAAATGTTTATAAATTTATAAATAAAAAATGTTTTCAGATTTATTTATTTATGAATTGGTATATGATAAATTTTTCATTAGTTTTAACTGTATTAATTTTTAGATTGTTGTAAACATAAAGTTATCCTTGTAAATAAATAATCTAATAAATAAATAGTCTTATTTCCTTTTTTGCAACAAATGTAAAAAAAAAAAGGAAAATGATGTCAGCGAAACAGACACGGAATTTGGTTCAATAACTATTAAAAAAAAAAACCTTCAAAGACAACATCAATATTCCTGTAGCTCTACATTTCAACCAACCGGGACACAGCATTGATAATTTCAGATACGTGATTTTAGCGTGTTCATTTATATATCAGCGAGAATGCTGTATATTAGAGTTAAAATATATTTTCAAAATAGAATCCTGTTATAGGATTAAACAGGGATTTAGGTTTACTCAGGGAATACAGTTACCACAGAAAGCCTTCTACAAAACCTCCACAACCCTAAACGTGGCAAACTACTAGGCGGCCAAAGCTATCAAATGTCCTACAGTAATACGGTAAATGGGAAAAGAACACACCGAATTCCACGGAGAGACTTTTAGAATGTTGTAAATATAAAATTATTCTTGTAAATAAACAATCAAATAAAAAGTGTTTAATTTTTTTGTTGTAAATTCTCAAGAACAAAAAATGTATAAATGTACTTTCATCCTATGTTTAAGTTTTATTCCAATTCTCATCATCGCTTTTTAAAATGATAAATATTGCCGAGGAGTGGAGGCAGTTAAAAAATAATAGCGGTGTCAATGGAAAAACCGTCCTTATAACACTTCGTTTTTTTTTTGTTAGTTTGTTGGGGTTTTTTTTTTTTTTTTTGTTTTGCTTTTTTTGGACACGTTTGTCCATGTTTGTTAAATAGTTTTTCGATAACATAATGACTACAAAACGTTCTGTACACCATTTATGAACGACAAGCTGATTGGAACGAATCACGAACCGAATGTAGCTAAGGAATACGAAAACTTTTGAAATCGGTATCTTCAAACCTGGTGACGAAAGTTTATAAATCAGTTTGCCATGTTCCGATCGGACATTCGCTATCATTATGTCACTTCAATGAAGATAATAAATGCTTTGTCTCATGTCTCATCATCTCAAAAAGGATATCATGAAGATAGGTAGGATTCATCTGCGTGTTAAAGATGTCTGAACAATAAAAGCAAAAAAGGTTGATCTTTTTTCTCTCCTGATCAGACTGGCAATTATAAAGCGAGATTGTGGATAGATGTGGTAAGCAACCTAAATTAAAAAAAGCTTTTCCATTCACTTCCCTACTTTTGTTCGGATTCTACATTCTACTACACGATCTATCAATTCAACATGACAAAGATAATGTTGATTATATTTTATGAATATGTCCTGAAGATGATTTATTAGACCGAAACGTCCGACGTTGACATATTAACATTAAAACAGCATAATTGTATATAAGGATTTTTGTTTGTTTTTTTTTCCGTATATTTTTCTTCATACTGTCGGATCTATATCCATATATTTATTTGCATATATATATATATATATATATATATATATATATATATATATATATATATATATATATATATATATATATATATATATATATATATATATATATATATATATATATATATATATATATATATATATATATATATATATATATATATATATATATATATATATATATATATATATATATATATATATATATATATATATATATATATATATATATATATATATATATATATATATATATATATATATAAATATATATATATATATATATATATATATATATATATATATATATATATATATATATATATATATATATATGAAGAAATGTAGTGGTATATTTATGGGATAGAGTGATCAATATCAGAGATGTAAATATAAAAGTGAATATAGAAGTCAACACTTAGAGGCGACAGTCTGTTTAATGCTAGACGCAATCGTCAACCACCTGAAAAAGGCCGGAGCGTACAACGGCCGAAACGTTGTCATAAATATAGCGACAAAGATGAGGAAAATAGTCCGAATAATGTAAATAGTGTGCATAATGCCTCATCGCAGTAATATAAACAGATACTAAATGGATCTATTTAATTTTTTAATTGTATTTTCCACTTTTTGAATAAGTTGTTGCACACCCGAGTTCAAATTGTGAATAAACTGACCAAAGTTTGTTTGATCAGTTTCTTTCTGTTCAATCAGTTTCAACCGTCTCCGTTATTGAAAAAAAAAAAAGAAAAAAAAAAAAAAGGTTTTCAGTATTACAGAAAAAAGTTTTTTAGCTACAGCGTATCATTTTTTTGTAGCGTTACATTTCAATTGTGAATCTCTATGTATAAGCGACGTCATGTGTGTCTGTAGTTTGCAAAGCCTTTCTGTCGACGTCGATGTCCTCATTAATAAATGCATCCGTGCATGAAATCAAGGAGGCTGGCACGGTTGTACATCAGCCTGTCTTCTTACTTGATGCGTGTTGTTTGTTGCGCGAAACGCACGCAGTCGCATCTTGAGCACCGGACGCTAACCGGTGAGAAGAGGAAATGAACCAGAGGAGGAGAGCGGAAACCTGAGAATCTCTTAATAGCCAACCCTGGGCTGTGTATTGATCTTGCTAATGTTGTTTAGGATACAAATAGTCTTAACTCACCTGCACGCACAAACCACTGACCTACCAGGCTCACCATTTGTTCTTGAGTTTCCCGCTCTCATTGCAGTGGTTCCTCTTTCTCAGTTCACTCCCTCTATTTTCACTTCCTCCCTCTCCCTCTCCCTTCCTCTCCCTCCCTCTCTCTCTCTCTCTCTCTCTCTCATTGTCGCTATCTGTCCGCATATTCAAAAAGCTCTCCAATGCATTCTTTGCCCTATAATTTCCCTTTTTAGTATGCTCTAATCTCCCTCTCTGTGACGGTATGCTACTCTCTCTCTCTCTCTCTCTCTCTCTCTCTCTCTGCCCCTTTATCTCTTTCCTACTCTCGACTAACTTATCCCAACTTTCTCTCTCTTCCTCTCTCTTTTTCTCTCTCTCTCTCTCTCATTGTCGCTACCTGTCCGCATATTCAAAAAGATGTCCAATGCATTCTTTGTCCTATAATTTCGCTTTTTGCTATGCTGTAATCTCCCTCTCTTTCACGATATGTTACACCCCCTGTGTTTCTTTGTCTCTTTCCTACTCTCAGCTACCTTATCCCGACTTTCTCTCTCTTCTTCTCTCTCTCATTCCCTCTTTCTCTCTCCCTCTCTCTCCCTCTCTCCCTCCCTCTGTCCCTCCCTCCTTCTCTCTCTCTCTCTCTTTCTCTCTCTCTCTCTCTCTCTCTCATTGTCGTTATCTGTCCGCATATTCAAAAAGCTCTCCAATCTATTCTTTACACTATAATTTCCCTTTTTAGTATGCTCTAATCTCCCTCTCTGTGACGGTATGCTACTCTCTCTCTCTCTCTCTCTCTCTCTGCCCCTTTATCTCTTTCCCTAATCTCGACTAACTTATCCCAACTTTCTCTCTCTCTCTCTCTCTCTCTCTCTCTCTCTCTCTCTCATTATGCCTCTCTTTCCACGTATACAAAAAGCTCTCCAGTTATTCTTTGCTCTGTTTCTTACTCTTCCTCTGTCGCTATATGCTACACCTTCTTTGTGTCTTTCCTACTCCAGATTACCTCATCCCTATTCTCTCACTCCCCCTCTCTCTCCCTCTTTCTCTTTTTCTATCATGCCAATCTGTCCACGTTACAAAAAAACTCTCCAACCATTCTTTGGTCTACAATTTCTCTATTTGATATATATTGCTCTCTCTCTCTCTCTCTCTCTCTCTCTCTCTCTCTCTCTCTCTCTCTCTCTCTGTCACGATATATTACACCTCTCTATAGCTTTGTCTCTTTCCGATTCTCGACTATCTTAATCCGACTTTCTCCCTCTTCCTCCCTCTATCTTACCTCTCTCTGTCTTTCTGTCTCTCTGTCTCTGTCTGTCTGTCTCTCTCTCTCTCTCTCTCTCTCATAGTGTCACTATCTAGAATTCTTACTAATGAAAAATCGAAAGCAATCGAACGTTTATTCCCGGTTTTCCTCAAGAAGTCCACACCTTTAGCCCTTGTGTTCCCTGCCAATTAGGCCAAGGAAATCGATGATAAATCAGTCCTCATGTACCTGTTTAAGAACAACTGTTATGGTAATTTACCCACGCATGCATGAACTCTCCCAGTTATAAATAGGAGCAGGTACTGCCTTTTGGAGAGAGAAGTTTCCAGCCGTCAGCTCTGACAGTCGGACCGAACATTCTTGCAGTAACACTCTCGTTTGTATATATTTGTATTCTTGTTTCTATTAATATATTTGTTTAACTCAATTCCTCTCCCCGTGTCTTTATTTCTGGCTCTAACAAGGCCACAACAACTACACATCTCTCGTTACGACATTTCGAAGCCTATATCTGCTAATTTTATTTTAGCACTCGTAAGCTGGACAAAATTATTTCTTTTTTAATCCGACATTATTTCTTATTACACTAAATGTTATTTTCAGCGGGTACACATGTTTTATTTGACATCCCTGTTAACATTTAAAATTAATATCACCGGTCCTAGAAATAGAGAACCCTTACTAAATATGCCTCCCAACAGGAATCGAAGCTGTATTCCATTTTTTCATTACGTATTCCAGACATTTAGCCGGAGTGTGCTCCTACCAATTAGGTCACGGGAGACCATGATAAGACAAAAAACCCAAATGGCATGAGAAATAAAATGAAAGTAATTCCTCTTATTTATTTCTAAATTCTTCTTACTTATTTTTAAATAATTTCTGGAAACTAAAATAGATGGTACACAACATCTTTCAGCTAAAAAACACTATTTTGCTACATACAAGGTCTACAAAGGCCACATCAAGGCTCTTGTGAACACAATCCAGACAGCGGTCTTTGTGTAGCCAGAAAAAATCTTTAAGACATTTATTTTTCTGATTATTATCGGCTAAGTGAAATGGGCTTCACAAGTAACATGGCAAGCGGCCCTGACAAAGAAGGTCACTGAATGAATATAAATTGCTTTTTTAGACAAAGATGACAAGACAAAGAATAATGTGCCCTATTAGACAGGGGTCACGTTCTTTTTTATGTGCTATGCCCCTTCAGGACGTAGGCGATAATGGCTCTCCACTTCTCTCTATCCCTTGTAGCTCTCAGTAAGTTTCGTCTCTCTGCCCCCTTTTCCAGACCACGTTCTGTCACCCACTTGCTTAAGCCAGCCATGTATGCTTTCCATTGTCTTCTTTCCCTCTATTCGACCTGTGAGTATCACATTCTTCAGGCTCTCCTTTTTCATTACATGTCCCAGATATTTCAGCTATCCCTTTCTTACGTTAAGTATAAGCTTCCTCCTAGTTTGAATCCTCTCCAACACCTCGTCGTTGCTCACACGCTCGGTCCATGACGCCCTTAGCATCCTTCTGTAGAACCATACCCCGTTGCATCGAGTTTCCTCTTCATCTCTGAGGAGATCGTCCAACATTCTCTGTCGTGAAAGAAGATAGATGTCACATAGGAGCGCAGTACTCTTTTCTTTGTTACCAAAGAAATCCTCCTGTCTCGTAATACTCTGCCCAGCTTTTGGAATGCGTCCTTGGCCATTCAAATACGTCTTCGGACCTCAGCGTCGCACTTATCGTCCTCCGTCAAAACACATTCCAAATATCTAAATTTCCACACCTGCTTGATTTTAGTGTCCCCAACCTGTAAATCGCAATTCGGACACATCCTTTTACTGATGACCATGCATTCTGTCTTCTTGTAGTTTATGCTTATCTCTTTTTTTTTCTCGCTCACCTTTGCTGTGTCATAAACAGATTAAAAGGCGCCGCGAGTGACAAGAGACCGCCTCGTAGCGACACGAAAGTGATCGCACGCCCTTTAGACTGTTCACCTCTCCCTCATCTCTCCGCTTCGCACGTCTGTAGCATTAGGTGACAACCAGAAAATAAAAGTTGCTTACTGCTCATGATTTTAATTCGTGGTGAGGATCTGGCCGAAAAACCGCAGAACCTGAGAACAAACCTGGTGTTTGGTTTGAGCTGCAACGGTAAATTTGTAAACGTGCCTTAATTGCACACAGGATTGTCGCCTTTTCCAAAATGCATTAGCTACCAACAAGCTGTGCTTACATCCAATGATTGGTTTCCGTAAACGTTCAGTAACCATTGATGAATTTCGATGCGTGCAAATTTTTTAGTATCACACATCTGTGCTTCATATTCTTGAAATATGTCTAGCAAAGAAAAAAATTAACATTAGTACCTTGATTAATATATCTACCATTTTTTAATATCGGCAATTGATATACTCGGCTATTTTCTTTTTTATTTGGCGACCAATAAGAGGGCACCTTGATGCGCAAGCATGATCAAGATAACTTCTGCGTAGTTACTCAGTAATCTGTGAGAAACAACTCAGTGAATTTATGTACTGTGTGATCGTCGCTTTTGCAGTACGGATCGAACTCACTACTCAGTCGTAATTGATCTAGTGAGATGAGCAGATATTTCTAAGCATTAAGCCATATCGTAGTGCCCAACACACGCGCAGATAGATAGATAGATAGATAGATAGATAGATAGATAGATAGATAATGAACAGTCTGAGATAGATAGATAGATAGATAGATAGATAGATAGATAGATAGATAGATAGATAGATAGAAGATATAGATAGATAGATAGATAGATAGATAGATAGATAGATAGATAATGAATAGTCTGAGATAGATAGATAGATAGATAGATAGATAGATAGATAGATAGATAGATAATGAACAGTCTGAGATAGATAGATAGATAGATAGATAGATAATGAACAGTCTGAGATAGATAGATAGATAGATAGATAGAAGCATACCGAGATAGATAGATAGATAGATAGATAGATAGATAGATAGATAGATAGATATCGTTTTTCGTACCATATAATGCACATTGAGATAGAGCCTTTTCCTTTTTTTATCATTTTTTTGCACCGATGGCTATAAAACAGCTCAGCTTGCACGAAGACGAGCTCTTCTTTTTTTCCATAGTAATGAGGACAGAAAGAAGGGAAAAAAATGAGGAAACCCCTGCCGCAAGCCATTTAACCTCTTATTCTAAGCAGTATCTTTTTTTTTTTTATCTATGTTTTATTTATTTATTTATTTATTTTTTTACAGAACTTGCAAATGGATTATTTTGACTTCTGTATTTGTTCCCCGAATATGAGTCTGCAAAAGAGGTAATTAAAAATAATAATAATAATAATAATAATAAAACAGAAAAAAAAGATTCAAGAAAATAATGTGTTGATGTATACAGATGGTCTTATAGTCAGAGCCGGTGAAACAGTCTCGTGGGCTCCCCACGAATTTATCATATAGTCCCCCTCCGCCACTCTATTACATCTCAATTTTCATAAGGTAATATTCATATAAAATACAAATTTTATATTGTAACCTAATTATATACAATAATGGATCATATATAATATAGATGAATAATTCAACTAGAAAGTTGAAAATAAATACAATGTATCTAAATACAAATTAGAGACATGATTCTGTCTTAAATAAATCAAAAATGATTTGCGACAATTTTTAGCATCAACTTCAGATTACTCTTGTTATAAAGATGAATAATTTTGACACATTCAACATTATGGATAAAACATGTTGAATATTATATAGTGTTTTTTGAGACTTAACACGGGCAAAACAAATTCACAGTTTTGAACGAATAAAAGAAAATGTCCGTAAGATGAGGTAAAAATCCGTGAAAATATTTCATTCTTTAATAGTCAGTTGTGCTTAGTTTAATTTGTAACGTATATAAATGTAGGTATAAAAAAAAGTAAATATTGATAAAACAGAAAGCATTACAAGGCACTGTCCGGTGCATCCAATCAGGCTTGAAACACCCAGTCAAAGGGTTTCGGGTGTAGTAGGCGCTGGCCTTGCTTATAGTCATCCATTATTCATTCACTGATTTCAAGTAAGGCACAAGGCCAGAAATGATAATCCAATTTCCTTTTTTTACCATTCATCCTTATTCATTGGGGAACCAAATTAAATTATCTTAAATTATCTTCTCTTATATATTCCTTTTTTTATTATTTACTGAACCTTCTGGAACAAAGCTGTGAGTCGCTCACATGATTAGGTTCTTCGAAGGCTTCTTAGCATATTAATGCCCGCTGTAAAATCCAACATTAAATAGAAAAATGGAAATAAAAAATGATCTTCTTCTTCTTCTTCTTCTTCTTCTTATTATTATTATTATTATTATTATTATTATTATTATTATTTTGTCCCTGTGTTCATTATCATCGTTCGCTTCATTTTTCTTGTTCTACCTCCTACTACTACTCTTCTTCTTCTTCTTCTTCTTCTATCATTATTATTATTATTACTTTTTCTCGCTTGAATCTGCATTATTTTCTATTCTTCCCCTTTTTCTTCTTTTCGGTTTTCTTCTTCTTTTTTTTTTTCTTCTTCTTCTTCTTCTTCTTCTTCTTATTATTATTATTATTATTATTGTAGTAGTAGTAGAGAGTAGTAATACTTGTCTTTTTTTCTTCTACTTTTTCTTCTTCTTTTGTTGCTTCTTTTTCTTCTTCTTTTTCTTCTTCTTTTCCTTCTTCTGCTGTTGCTGCTTCTTTTTCTTCTTGTTCTTATTTTTCTTCTTCTACTTCTTATTTTTCTTCTTCTTCTTTTCTTCTTCTACTGCTGCAGCTTCTTTTTCTTCTACGTCTTTCTCTTCTGCTGTTGTTTCTTCTTCAACTTCTGCTACTTGTTCTTCTTTTTCTTTTTCTTCTTCTTCTTCTTCTTTATTTTGCTGCTGCTGCTGTTACTACTTCATCTTTCTTCTTCTTCTTCTTATTCTTCTTCTTCTTCTTCTTCTTCTTCTTCTTCTTTACGTGCCTCAGACCATAACGGAAGACTGATATCACGTAATATTTTAGTGCTACATTCCTTGTTTCTTGCGAAG